AACTTTCATATTCCCAGCTGACAAGAACACAGATCTCACAAACAGCAGGGACACCACAGCTTCAGAGCTTTTAAAGGCTGCCATGTCAGCACCAGTGACCGTCTCCAATGACAAAGCACTCTTTGCAAGTTACCCATGTTTAAGGAACGCAGGAACACTGTCTCCTCATTTTGGCAGCGAGAAGGTGCTTTTCTAACAAACATTTATCATTTTCTTTTTCAAAGGTTTGTTTATAACCCAGCCACTGGGGTCTTGCTAGACTGACTTTTACCATGCAAGGAACATAGTTAGGGGACTGTTTTTAAATAAATACTTAAATAACAGTACTACTTCTAAAGAGAGACTTCAGTATCTCCTTTAACTGACTTCAGACTAGAAATGTGCCAACAGGGCACAAGACGGCATTTACTTTAAACGGGCTACCTCACAAAGGGAATGACTGCTTAGTTTTCTCCAGGTTACTAAGAACCCATAGCATTTATATCATTTACAACAGATCTCACACTTGCAGGGCATCTTGTGTTCCAAAGAACCAAAAAAACCCAACAAAAAAACCCCAAACACACTGCAGATTCATAGGCAGCTGAGGCCGAACTGATTCACTTTTGTCACTGAAAGGAGGCCACTTCTTGGGTGATGCATGGCAACAGTCTACGCTAACCAAGAACAGCAAGCCTGTTTGTTTACGACAGCAGAGGGAATTCAAAGCCTGGATTTTAAAACAGGAGGATCACTACTGAACAATGCTTTCCCCAGAGAGATGTCCTCACAACTTGAGGATGCTGTGCAGTCAACACCAAAAATGTACTGGATCCTGCAGTATACTAAAAATACGCTTGTTCTATATTACAAGGGTTGGATGGTAAAGCTATACCTGAGTAGCATTTACTGGCGAAGGAGAGTTTCAGACAAGTTTTAGTCACAGAAATTGAAACAAATTATACCATGAAAACATGGGAACAGGACTGAGCTTCTGCAAACCATCCCAAGTTTGTTCATGTAAGCAGGTGAGGAGTAACTGTACAGGGGTACCTGTGAAACTTTATGGTCATCTTTGTGCATTTTGCTTAACAACACTACCAAAGTCACAGGTCAATTTGGAACGAAGGCTGAGAAGTGCCAGCCAGGGGTATCTGAGCTTACCTCTGAGTCATGTGCACAGAGGGAAGGGCCAAGCTTGGGTATTAGGTTTGCGCTGACCATTTGCATGTTTGTAGTTTTTCAGTTCTACACATAGCCTGGGATCAGTGTCATTCTAATAATAATCTTCTGTACGGCATATAACAGCTCTAAATTCGTCTTCCCTTACTGAAATGCTAGAGGTCTGTCCAATATGCACTTATGAAGGTCATTATAGGCAAAAAGATGATGTGGGGAAGTGGAAACATATTACCAGTGCTTCCCTTAGACCCAGACTCATTCATAGGCAGGTATTTCCCTGCTTAAGGTAAAAAAAAAAAAAAAAGAAAAAGAAAAAGAAGTGTTCTTGTATGCAAGTCTGCAAGGTGAAAGTGCAGTACTTGAATATCGCTTAGATACTGGATTTAACAAAGAACACAATATTGTGAAGTAAGGAAGGAAAGCCAAGAATAACAGTCAGAAGGATATAAAGATCAGGAAGTTTTTGTTCAGAAACTGATATAGCGTAAGAGTGAGTCAGGAAAGCAATTGATATAGAACATCCCTTTGAATAACCCTCTCCTTCACTAATCCCCTTCTACAGATGCACAACAAAAGCCATATTTCCATGCCGAAACATGCATACAGTACCTCTTAATTCTCTAACATGCCAATCAGGAGCAAAGTGAAAAAAGGAAGACAAAGGAATAAAATTAGGATAAGCACAACATAGAGGACTCACATATTCAGTAAGACCCACTCATATTAATTAACATTTATTTTAAGAAAAACATTCAAGTGTATTTAGCAAACACAGCATCTTTGTAAAAAAAAAGTAAACATGATAAAGATAATTCTAATAGCAGAGGGGGAAGAAGCCATGGTTACAGAGCAAATCTGACATCATAAGTCATCACCAAAACACACAGTAAGAATTGTTCACTGACAGTCAGCTCCTACTCCTACAGATGTCAGTGACAGAAGCTATCGACGTCAGAAGTGTAGGATTTAGATAGGTAAAATGAGAAAGGATGAAACAAAATTATTACAACCGAGATTAAAAGTAACACCTTATCCTTCCTCCCATAGCAGAATTCATTTTCTAGTCTGTGCAAACAATTCAAGTGTTGTCTAGATGAGGAGATGGATGGAGCTAACTCTTCCAAGTCTGCCTAGCGTGTCAGGTAAAGATCTGAACTGGATGTTCTGGTCTCAGGCTTGTACTCCACCCCAGAATCAGAGAAGACAGCCTTGTGTCCTAGTTTCTCAGTTTTTGAAGCTCCTGAGACTGCCTTACAACTCCCCAGTTCCCCATCACCAATAGGTTCACTGGAAAAGTCTTCTTTGGCAATACACTACCTCCATCTGTCAGATCAGTGGGACAGAAGGGAAGGAAGAGGAATCTGATCCTGACCTCCGCAATGTGCTGGGTTCCTCTTTGTACATGAAACCAGCGTTCATTGCTTCAAAACAAAGCCAGCATGTCCCTACATGCACTGCAGAGCACTCACACCAGGCCTGGGGGTAGCTGAAGGCTTTGGTGCACCCCTCTTTCTATCAGCTAGAAAGGTGAATCACTGAATGGAGGCTGATCAGAATATGATGTCTGAGAAAAACTGCGATCAGAAGTATCTGCTCCCCTGTTTCTCTTCAGAACACTGTCTCAAGCTCTTTTCCCCCCTTCTTTATTCTCCCCCTTTCTAGGTCCCTTTGCATGATACCTTTTCTGGTGCGGTCCTAGACATTTCTCTCTTCTAAGCACCACCCTGCAAACTGAACAGGCCAGCAAGTAAGCACAAAGCAGAGCTGATACCTGCAAAGCTGGGCCATACCCTGGTGCTAACTGTGAAAAACAAACTTCTTGGATGACCTTACATGAGTTCCACTGAGCTCTTAGTATCAGCTTGGGTGTGGTTTTTCAACAGGTCTCTTTTCTGGACAAGCCTCTGTGACTTATGTCATTTCCAGTACCAAACAAATTACGGGCTTTCACACCTAGGCAGCTAGTTCTTCTGAAACACCTTTGCCTTCTCCCATGCCTTTGGAATAAATCACTGAACAGGAGGTGTTTCTCTAAGCTTGGAAAATCACTATTCAGTTGTTGCAATACATCTATGAGGAAAAAAAACCTCTCTGTTGTTGAGCCTTTTTTCCGTCCAAAGTATTTTTAGCATATCCACTTCCTACATACTTAGGCAATAAATCCAGTTCCCTTCTTATCTCTAGAAGTGCCAATCAGACGTTTTAAGCATCCCTTTGGTGAAAGAGTACAGCCTAGTGGCAGGAAAATGAAAGATGGGCCTGTTCCACTGCTCTACTTGCCTGTCAAGACACAGCTTGACACAGAACTTACCATCACACCAGTTACAACTGAAAGTTACTTTTGAACTGATTATGAAAACTGAATGTTCAAGTAACTGATGTATTGACAGAAAATATTAAAAGAGAAACAGCACCGTAAATGCCTTTCTTTTCTTTATTCTTTAGGGCAACGGTATTGCTGTGAGCCTAAGGATATAAAGAAAAAGAGGACTTGTAAGGAGTAACTGCTTTTCTTAGACCCACTGATAAGACTGGAAAAAATGATCAAGTTTTCATGCTCAGAATCTCTTTCTCACCTGAGACATTTTATGAGATACCCAATGAAAGGGCTCAGCTTAAAGCCTAACTTCTGGACACATCAGCTACATGAGCTGGTCTAACAAAAGACATTACTTCTCCTGGTGAGGTCCTCTGTTGTGAGATGGAGAAAGAGCAACGAAGGTTTCTATGCCACTGGATCTGAGCTGTGTCTGAAAAAGGGAACCTGGGGAGCAGGAGAGGGGAATTCACAGTTTCACTGACCTTTTGCTAGCTTGTGACTTATCAACCAGACTATCACTTGAGGAGGTGGAAGGGGATCTCCATAATGCTGCCACACCAAATGACTATTTTTTTTATAAGATCACAAAAGCTTCCCATAAATCTGCAGTCCTATGAACTGGGCTGAAAGAACAAACTCATATGCCACAGGCAGAGAGCCACCAGACGATGACAGCTATTCACTGTCACTCTACTGATGAAGTTCTAATGAAAAGTTGACATCATCAAATGAATTACGTCAATGAGATGGAAACTGTGGGGTGGTGGTTGTTTTGGTTTGTGGTTTGGTTTTTTTTTAATCATTATTACTAAACTTTCAGGAGAAAGGAGCAGCAACATAATATAAAATGATATAGTAACTTGACATAGTAACTCTTGTGTTGCTTATGCTCCCGGAAAGCAGCAGCACCAGCAACTGGGAAGTCACTTGTTAACCAGAAGAGTCAGAAACAAGAACAAGACTTATTCTGACCATTCAGACTTAATACCTTCTGTATTAAACTGTGCAAATTTCTTGTGGTTGCCAGTACATAGGTCAGGCATAAATGGCAGACACACAGGCTCTGAAAATGACATGGATCTCATTCATCCTGCCTTCCACCAAGGGGACTGAATGCCTGTATTTGACAGAAGATTTGCCAATTCTGAACTGCGAGAATTTGATGGAATTGCTATGAAAAAGAAATAAAGCTAAAGACACAGAGTCTGAGAGTATACATATATCCCATAACAGTGCTTGCACCCACCTTAAAAGTGTAACAACGCATTTGTAACAGTAATTTTCAGACATTAAAAAAAAAAAAAAAAACAAAAAACCCCAAACAAAAAAAAAAACCCAAACAAAAAAAAAACACCACCCAAACAAAAAAAAACCCAAACCCAAACCAACATAAAACAAAGCCTCTGTAGCTTACTGGTAAGAGCAAGAAAGTGGCATCCATGATCATCTGGCTAGTCTTGTCCCAAGCTCCCGCAACAAGCACCTCTAACAAAGACCTAGTAACACGAATGCTCTGTACCTGCATCTTCCTCTTGACAGTCTCAAAGGGGAAAGAAAGTGTCTGTGCCACACCAGCTGCGACACAGCCATTTATGAAGTTCTGAAGAGGAGTGAAATGAACTATGGGTTCTCGCCAGATTTTGTCCAGATTGATGTAAACAAAGAACGAGCCCGCAGAAAATGGGACAGCACCTGGAAAGCAAACCAGACAGGTTTATATCAACACGCTGTACACTAAGAAAAAAGAGCTGCTCATCTGATAACCTAGACAGATGGGATGAGCCGCTGTCAGTTTACACCTCACATTGCTCAAACCTGATCAGCATTTTGAAGAACTTTACTTTTTAGTCACTGGTGTACCACCAAACGCCTATATTGTAGCATCTAGACGTGCTGATAGGGGCATATAATTACATATCAAAATGTGCATGTTGTCAGAATTATTAACTGCTTTAGCCTCATGACAGGTTAGCTCTTTCTCCAGGTTATCTCTTCTGTGACAAGCTCTTTCTCCAGTCCAACCCAACACTAGCAGTTGTACAGGTAAACAGAGTTGCCTCTTCAGTCAAGCTGATGAGCAATACTTCTGTCCTCTTTTGCTTGTTTCATGCTCTCATCAATTTTAGAGTGGGATTATACATTATTATTATTATTATGCATTCTTATAATGTCATATTGTGAAAAAGTGGACTCAAAGTTAAATGGCATTTTTAAAAGCTATGGAGAGTAAATAAATAATTAAAGAGTCATTCCACGTAAAGAGAGAATATCAGTAATCTTCACTTTTCACATCAGTTATATATTACTGCTAATACTGGTTTCACTGAACAGCTAGGGAAACACTCTCACACCTAGATAGGAATTAGGAACGCTCTGTGTATGTGTATATATGTATATATATTGTTTTTTAAGAGTTAAATGGTGGAAATCTTGCATCCGAGCACAACTAGATCACCTATAAAAGAAGGAAAAGAGTATTTTGTTGAACAGTTAACCATACATAAAATGCTATGCACTTGGTCATAATTTGAAGCAATAAAGCTGCAGCAGAAGTAATCAGTATTGTTGTGCCTTGTAAATCTACATACCTGCTACAGAAGAACATAACTATTTGCTTTTGAAATCAAGTGAGCTAATGAGTGCACTACATAGCTGTAATAAACAATGTGCAATGAGGTGATTTTTCCCCATTATTATTTTACCTAATATAGCTGGTGAAACGCCACGGTAGAGTGCAAGGAGTCCTTCTTGATGGTAAATTTTGTAAAAAGCATGAAGAATTCCTTTGTAAGATGGCTCCAGTCGGTTCTGCACAATAAGCCGTGTTTTAATTACGTCAGTGGGGTAAGTCACGATGGTTGCAACCATGCCAGCCAGACTTCCTGCCATGATGGCTCTCCAGTGGGAAATATGACCCAACTCATCCGTGAAAAGTATAACAAGTCTAGAGTCAACACATAAAAGAGGTACTATTAATGACAGTACGAACAAAACACACGAAAAAATAAGGCAGATTATTGTTCTTCGGCCCACAAGCCCCTTCAACAGCAGGAGTTGAAACTTTAACATGTATTTCATCCAAGACCTTATTATATATAACACCACACAAGCATCAGAACCTCTGTGAAACAGAACATGTGAACGGGCAAACAGGAGCAGAGTCCAAAAAACACGCCTAAGAGCCCAAAGAGATTTTGAGTAAATCCACGCTGCACAGAAGTGCAGACATGCAAAAGTTATAGTTAACAACTAAGTCAGGGACTGGAATATACAATTCTGTAAATGCAGTTTGCTTTGATTTTAGTGTTACTGAGCTAAAATATTTCCAGTATCTGCAAGAGCTTTTTTAGAGGCAGCTTCCATAGCTCTATCTGTACCACGGTTCCCAGCACAGACTAAGCTCACATAGCTTGAGTTGTGGTACCATGCTGGAGATCCAGAGCACCAATTCAACAATGAAAAAATCCTCAAAGATACGGAGACTAATTGTTCAAACGATTTACTTGTTTGCTTTGCAAAAGACTTTTAAAGTAATTTTTGACCACAGAATCCTCATTTATACTTCCATCTACAGGATGAAAATTACCATGACTTAAAACATGTCTGCAAGAAATTCTCTGATCATCAGTTAGAGACATTGGTCCAACCCCCCAGTCAAAGTTATCATGTAAGAAGAAATACGTAAATAACATCATCACAGGCCTTCTGAGAACAACTGAACCTTCCTCTCTTGCTTATGTTGGGACACAAAGGTCCACAGGGATACTCCTCTAGAGAAGACTTATGTCCAGGCACTATTATGCTCAGGAGGTTAAGCCTAAATTTGAAATTCTGAAATTGAAGCACAGAGTTTCAAAGGCTAATCTACAACTCATGCATTTGTGATGCAGAGAAGGACTTTTCTATGTACGCAGGGCACTCCTACATCAGGGAGAAGTGTCATGGAGGCAGCAAGAAGCAAGTAAAAAGACTGCAGAGGAGAATCTTAGCTGGAGGTAAAGAAACCTATTATTCTAATTACTTATTATTCTAATAAACTAAGCCTCCTAAACAGCAGATTTACATTTAAACTACACGGTGTTACCATGCCCAGAACAAAATAATTTGCAAAGACTTACAAGTCACTGCTTGCTCAGTTGATGTTTTTTCACGAGCGTGTATTTTCTACTGCATGATAGATCCCTTCAATTACTTGTCTCATCCCCTGGAGAGAGCCCAGAGCAGAAAGACTGGCCAAGCAGAAGCAAGAGGGCATAAACTTTTTTTCCTATGTGTCTTGTACAGTCCCTAAAGCAACACAGCCTGATTTTCCTGCACATGCACAAATGCGTGGGGAGGGTGGTGGGGTGTCTCTAGGCACTACCCAGATAACATTTAAAACTGCCACGGAAAGACAGAGTCTGTGCACAGTAACCGCAGACGGAGCACAGAGTCCGCTAAACCCCCCCTTCCCCAGCCAGTTCCCCCGCACTGCCATTCCTGGGGCTGCTGACTGTGCTCAGCCCAGGTCCTTTGCAATTAGCATTACTATTTACTTAAGTTACCATGAAACATTTCTATTTTTGTGTTTCTTGCCTTTATATAACACCATTCTTTCACTAGAAAATACATTAAAAAATCCTCAAATAATGTATCAAGAAATATGTGTAGGCAGCTTTTATTTAATTTCCTGGTAGCCTACTTCCACTTGTAATTCAAAGGAACACCCTGTGCAAACTAGAGACAAACTATAGTCTTGCAAAGGGAATACACTGTTTCAAGCTGAATAAACAATGAAGTTAGTTATTTTGCTCAAAATCAACTGGTTTATACCAGTGCAACACACTGACTCTTCTGTGAACTTTAAATTACATTTAAATCACTGTTTCTGCCTTCCCACTGCCATTACCCCAACCCTTGTTTGACCACCGCATCCGTTACAAGCAGAAGGACACAACAAAGCCGCCCGATTCCAGGGTCGCTCCGTCCATCATTTCCTGAAAGGCGCAGACAGAGCTGGGAGGATGATTCTTGCTCAGCCCGATGAATGACAAGCCCCAGCGGGCTGTGCAGCGTCAGCCTGGGCGAGAGCCGCAGCGGGCCGGATTGGCCAGCGTGGGCTGAGCCCATGCTTCTCCCCACCCAGCACGGCCCACAAACTGGAATAACCCATCGCCCAGCTGGGCGGAAATGTCAAGTGCATACCATGCACATAGCTGACCTGAATAAAAAAAAAGAAGGAAAGAAACCCAACCCTCAAAGTGGCAAAACATGCTGGTGCGTGCAAACAGTCAGGCACTCCTTTCAAAGGCTACAAGATACTGGCAGCAAAACGGAATCCTAGGAAAGAGCACAGGTCAGCAGAGCTCAGTCAGCACTGCTCCGAGTTGATCCTGCTGCAGTCCTTCCAGCATTTACCTTAATTTAATGTCTGTGTATTATCGAAAGCAAGATCTTAAAACAAATAATGTCAAATATCGACTTCAAACCCAATCAAATTTGCGTTAACAACTGCTGCATAATAGCGTAAAAGATTTGAATCATAATTTTGTTGTTATTTTCTTTGATACAGACAATATAAATACTTGAAAGCGCATAAATTAATAAAATAAATTGGTTGCAAAGAACAGATGTCGCAGTCACATTTGTAGGTAGCACCGTAACTTCATTTCTAAAGGAATCTGGCTGAGCAGAAGAGATTTACCAGACTATCAACCCTCCATTATTTGAAGAATACATATGACTTTATAAGCAGTTGCTGGCGCATCAAGCAGGCCCTAAGAGTTGCTACGCTAAATAAATGCTAAATAAATGAAGTTATTAGCCAGGGTACGTGTCTTTGAGGAGAGGGGACACACAACCCGCTAGCCATCCAGCTGAGACAGATATTAAAGTGCCCCTACGGACTAAGCTCTCCACTTTCCATCCCCTCCTCTTTTGTAAAAGACGCGAAAGGCCGGATCGACAGCGCTCCCCTCCCCGC